TTCATAAAATTGACCCTTATGACTGGTTTTGTGCTCCAGGGTCACATATATCAATCTATCATTGATTTGAAGTTCTATGCATGGAGTGCCATGTAAATACAATGGTATATTAATATTTTAATCACGGGTTAATCAATGTACTGTGGTACCGCTATAGTATATGAAAGAGTCAACTTCATGAACATCAGCTTTAACTCGAGTCTCTTACTAGAGAACATTTCTGGAATAAACATCTTCAACACTGACACAGAGTTTGAGATGAACCAGAGCGTGATGTATTTTAAACAAGACTATTGATTTGAACTATCTGTTGTCAGTCTGTAAGGTAGGGTACATTCATTCACTCTCTCTCTCTCTCACACACACACACACACACACACACTGCAAGTATGAATAAAAATGGCCATACTGCACTTCCTCAGTCACATCACTTTATATTGTTATGTGTGTAAAGCATTATAAAGTAATGTTACTTTTGTAAACACGTACAGTTACTTTTGTAAAACACTGCAATATTGTTACTTCACAAATGCTGCTCATTTTGTAAACATTGTTACTTTTGTGAACACTGCTACAGTTGTCACTGTGAGTTCTGTTATGTTTTAGAAACATAGCTACTTTTGTATACTGCAACACTTTTCATTTGTAAAGGTTGTTACTTTTGTAAACACTGCTATATTGTTGCTTTGTAAATTCTGTTATTTTTTAGAAACATTGCCGCTTTGTTACTTCTGTGAACACTGCTACAGTTGTCACTGTGAGTTCTGTTATGTTTTAGAAACATAGCTACTTTTGTATACTGCAACACTTTTCATTTGTAAAGGTTGTTACTTTTGTAAACACTGCTATATTGTTGCTTTGTAAATTCTGTTATTTTTTAGAAACATTGCCGCTTTGTTACTTCTGTGAACACTGTTGAAAACACTGTAAAATTGTTACTTTGTAAACACTGTTAATTTTGGAAACACAGTTACTTTTGTTAAACACTGCAACATTGTAACTTGGTTTTGGAAACAGCCGATACTGTTCATTCTGTAAACACTGTTACTTTTGGAAACGCTGCTACAATGTTGCTTTGTAAATGTTATTTTCAGAAACATTGTAACACTGTGATTTCATTTCAACTAACAAGTACATAGTCGTCATATTCATGTCATATGCTACAAAAACATTTTCCTCCAAACTACCACAGATACTATGGTTATTGTTTCTGATATAAAACCACAATACTACTGCGAGATCTGCTTTAAACAGTCTGTCATTTTGATTCATTTCTTATTGGCTGACAGCGATAAATACCAAGTTGCCACAGTTTGGTAGTAACGTGAACCAAATACTTTGGTGTAAACTGTGGAAATACAAAAAAGATCTCAGCAACAGCTTTCAACACCGCTACATTGTTACTTTGTAAATGCTGCCATTTTTAGAAACATTGTTACTTTGTTGCTCAGACCTCAATGTGAACTCATTTCTCAACAAATGTTCTGAGCTGCTCCACGGTTTTTTGTGAGCTTACTAAATGAACCGTGTCTGTTTTATTCCTCCACAGATGTGTTTTAGGAGAAACATCTGACCTCATGAGGAGCAACCAATAAAACTTTCCTCTGAATTGAGTGAAGCACAGCATTAGTTGATCAGTAAAATCCATCCCTTATGAAAATTAACCATGCTTTTAACTATAAATAAAACCAAAAAAACATGGTTAATATAGTTAAACCATGGTAACCACAAAATAACCATGGTTTTGCAGCACTATTTGTATTTGTAGTAAAACTGTGGTCATACAAATAGTAATCAATACGGCTAAAAGCATGGTCACTACAGTTTTGCTCTAATAAATCCATGGTTCATTTTCGTAAGGGATTAACATTGAAAACAACAATACTGCATCCTCATGTTTTTCCTGAAGTCATTTTTCATCTCTTTTATGTTTCGTCTTTTATTTGGGAAGAAAGACTCGGACACGGATCTCTTTGCTATTGCCTTCATTTGGACGTCAGAAAGACGTGTGTCTCGTTCAGTGGGCTGCTCTGTACACACACTGCTGGCCCTTCTTGAGGCTCTGTGATCACAGTTCCTTCATTAGTTACAGATCAAACACAGAATTACTCACTGGTCACATTATTGCATACTTCATACTGTGCGCTTGGATTACTCTGAGTTTTGATTTGATTAATTGTTTCCACAAAAACATTATTCTGCGATATAAAAATAAATAGCAATTCATTTGGGCAAGAAAACGGGGCTGTTTTAAAATATCTAAGCACTGAAACATGCATCACTGAGGGACGTACAGAAACACAAGAACTGTGTTAACAAGAATACAACACCGTACTAACAAAAGAACACAAGCGTGACTCTCCAGCTCTTGTTTCACCCCCAAATCATCAGAAAATCAGAAATGGTGTAAAATATGCAGTAAAATATTTTGCATTAAAATCATGTGAATTTGGGGATTAAATGTGTTTGTCTTGAAAATGTCTTAATGCTTGTAAAATACATACATATACATAACATAGATTTTTTATAGTATATGATTTTTTTATATTATTAATATATTATATTATTAATTATTATTTGTATATTATTATATATATATATATATTTATAATATATTAATATTATATGATTTATAATATATATATATAGAGAGAGAGGTATATATATAATATGATTTAAGGGTGAAATTTGAGTAGGTCATGATCTTGACAGGTTTCATGAAATGCATCAAAATAACCACGTCCATATTAAATATCTCTATACAGTGTGATGTGATGAACTGGGAATTATTATTCATAATTAATCAATGAAACACATTCATGCGCCCTCATTTCAGATTCACACACACACACACACACACTCACACACACACACACACACACACACTGCAAGTATGAATAAAAATGGCCATACTGCACTTCCTCAGTCACATCACTTTATATTGTTATGTGTGTAAAGCATTATAAAGTAATGTTACTTTTGTAAACACGTACAGTTACTTTTGTAAAACACTGCAATATTGTTACTTCACAAATGCTGCTCATTTTGTAAACATTGTTACTTTTGTGAACACTGCTACAGTTGTCACTGTGAGTTCTGTTATGTTTTAGAAACATAGCTACTTTTGTATACTGCAACACTTTTCATTTGTAAAGGTTGTTACTTTTGTAAACACTGCTATATTGTTGCTTTGTAAATTCTGTTATTTTTTAGAAACATTGCCGCTTTGTTACTTCTGTGAACACTGTTGAAAACACTGTAAAATTGTTACTTTGTAAACACTGTTAATTTTGGAAACACAGTTACTTTTGTTAAACACTGCAACATTGTAACTTGGTTTTGGAAACAGCCGATACTGTTCATTCTGTAAACACTGTTACTTTTGGAAACGCTGCTACAATGTTGCTTTGTAAATGTTATTTTCAGAAACATTGTAACACTGTGATTTCATTTCAACTAACAAGTACATACAGTCGTCATATTCATGTCATATGCTACAAAAACATTTTCCTCCAAACTACCACAGATACTATGGTTATTGTTTCTGATATAAAACCACAATACTACTGCGAGATCTGCTTTAAACAGTCTGTCATTTTGATTCATTTCTTATTGGCTGACAGCGATAAATACCAAGTTGCCACAGTTTGGTAGTAACGTGAACCAAATACTTTGGTGTAAACTGTGGAAATACAAAAAAGATCTCAGCAACAGCTTTCAACACCGCTACATTGTTACTTTGTAAATGCTGCCATTTTTAGAAACATTGTTACTTTGTTGCTCAGACCTCAATGTGAACTCATTTCTCAACAAATGTTCTGAGCTGCTCCACGTTTTTTTGTGAGCTTACTAAATGAACCGTGTCTGTTTTATTCCTCCACAGATGTGTTTTAGGAGAAACATCTGACCTCATGAGGAGCAACCAATAAAACTTTCCTCTGAATTGAGTGAAGCACAGCATTAGTTGATCAGTAAAATCCATCCCTTATGAAAATTAACCATGCTTTTAACTATAAATAAAACCAAAAAAACATGGTTAATATAGTTAAACCATGGTAACCACAAAATAACCATGGTTTTGCAGCACTATTTGTATTTGTAGTAAAACTGTGGTCATACAAATAGTAATCAATACGGCTAAAAGCATGGTCACTACAGTTTTGCTCTAATAAATCCATGGTTCATTTTCGTAAGGGATTAACATTGAAAACAACAATACTGCATCCTCATGTTTTTCCTGAAGTCATTTTTCATCTCTTTTATGTTTCGTCTTTTATTTGGGAAGAAAGACTCGGACACGGATCTCTTTGCTATTGCCTTCATTTGGACGTCAGAAAGACGTGTGTCTCGTTCAGTGGGCTGCTCTGTACACACACTGCTGGCCCTTCTTGAGGCTCTGTGATCACAGTTCCTTCATTAGTTACAGATCAAACACAGAATTACTCACTGGTCACATTATTGCATACTTCATACTGTGCGCTTGGATTACTCTGAGTTTTGATTTGATTAATTGTTTCCACAAAAACATTATTCTGCGATATAAAAATAAATAGCAATTCATTTGGGCAAGAAAACGGGGCTGTTTTAAAATATCTAAGCACTGAAACATGCATCACTGAGGGACGTACAGAAACACAAGAACTGTGTTAACAAGAATACAACACCGTACTAACAAAAGAACACAAGCGTGACTCTCCAGCTCTTGTTTCACCCCCAAATCATCAGAAAATCAGAAATGGTGTAAAATATGCAGTAAAATATTTTGCATTAAAATCATGTGAATTTGGGGATTAAATGTGTTTGTCTTGAAAATGTCTTAATGCTTGTAAAATACATACATATACATAACATAGATTTTTTATAGTATATGATTTTTTTATATTATTAATATATTATATTATTAATTATTATTTGTATATTATTATATATATATATATATTTATAATATATTAATATTATATGATTTATAATATATATATATAGAGAGAGAGGTATATATATAATATGATTTAAGGGTGAAATTTGAGTAGGTCATGATCTTGACAGGTTTCATGAAATGCATCAAAATAACCACGTCCATATTAAATATCTCTATACAGTGTGATGTGATGAACTGGGAATTATTATTCATAATTAATCAATGAAACACATTCATGCGCCCTCATTTCAGATTCACACACACACACACACACACTCACACACATGACATCAAAACTGGACGCGTGTGAATGGAGGGAAGAGCAGAATATTTCTATACGAGTTCAAAACACGCTTACAGCTCTCACATCCACCAACCAAACCCTGTCAAAGCAAAGGATTGTGGAATCTGTCCTTTGGTCCAATACTCTGTTTATAAAAACATCCACCGCTAGAGGACGTCTGCTCGTCTCCTAGCTTAAAAACATCATCAAACGTCAAAACGTGCCGCGAGGCAGAGCTACATCGGTTGATAGGTTAAAATCGTAAAAAAACACTTTTGCTTTTTCACTTTTGTTTAGCTTTTGTCTGTGGCCGCCTCCCTGTGAGTCGTTTCCTGTCTGAGACGCGACTGTTGCCGTGGAGACGGCGCGGTGTCTGCAGTGGGCGTGGTCAGATGGAGTAGGTGGAGCTTTCTGACTGCTGGCGGATGTAGCACTGGAAGCTCTGATCACCGATTGGATGTTCCCTGTAAACACAAACAAAAGTTAATCAGTAAGTCAAAGCACTGTCTTTTTTTTATCCAGTATTATTTTAGGATTCTTTGTATACTATTATAGTATGCATTAATATTTTGAATTAGATTTTATTTGTATATTTTCAGTTGTCAATTTAATTTTAGTTTATGTGCTTTTGTTGTTTTTATTAGTTTTTATATATGGCTTTATTTCTCTTATTTTTAAGTTTTAGTAATATTACGTGCTTTTTTGTCATTTTTATTACCTTTTTAATATTTCTATTTGTCTCTATTTTTAAGTTTTAGTAATTTTGTTATGTGCTTTGTCATTTTTATTAACTTTTTGTATTTCTATTCATCTTTAATTTTAAGTTGTAGTAAATTTTATGTGCTTTGTCATTTTTATTAACTTTTTGTATTTCTATTTATCTTTAATTGATTTTTATTTCAGTTTTAGTCATTTTGTTATGTGCTTTTGTCACTTTTATTAGAATTTATCTATTTCTATTTATCTTTATTTTGTTGTGCTTTTCTGAATATTTCTATATACCTTTAAGTTATTTTATTTCAGTTTTAGTTTTATTTATTAACTCAAACTTGTTTTATTGCACAGCTCTATATATGAAATGGGAAACATTTATTCTATTCAACTTTATCCACATACATGCATTATAGCTATGTAAATATATATTCTATATATCAAATCTCAACTGTCAGATGTTCTTTTTTGTCAAAAAATATAACTATATTATCGTCCAGCTCTAATATGTTAAATGCAACTTTAAGACATGAAGATATTAAGATATTATAAACAATAACATCATGATTTTCTGCTTTGAAACGATGTGCATAGTGAAAAGTGCTATATAAATACACCTGACTTGGCTTGTGATACTCACTGGCTGCCGTACTTGGTTTTCCTGAACTTGTCTCGTTTGTACTGCATGTGCTGCTGCTCCAGTGTCTGTACGGCTGAGATGACGAGTCTCAGGGTTTTATACGTCTCCTGCGGGTCGTCGATCACAAACGTGGAGTATTCCTCCTGCTCAGGACCGTCGTACACAGACTTACTGCCACAGGCCTCTGGATAGACAGATGAGACACGCTGATGCATCGTACTGACTCACGCCAGCAACCTCATTCATCATTTATCAGTCAGATTTCATCAGAAATATCTTAATTTGTGTTCTGAAGGTCTTACGGGTTTGGAACGACACGAGGGTGAGTAACTAATGACAGAATTTTTGGGTGAACTACCCTTACCAAAAAGTAGTATACTTCCAAGTTTATTTTATTATGTATACTTAAGTAAAGTTCAAGTATATTTTTAAGTACACTTAATGAAGTAAGAACACAAATATCAGTGTACTAGTAGTATACTTGTAAGTGTACTATTTCAATACTCCTTGGGACTAAATTGGCCCACTTTCTAGTATATAAAAGTATACTTTAAGTATAACAGTAGTAAACATTGAGTACACAACTAGTTTACATCTATGTTTTTACTTTGTACTGCAACTATACTAAAAGTGAACTTATATGAATACTGATAGTTTACTAATTAAATACTTGTAGTAGCATTTTTAGTACACTTTAAAGTATAGTCTCAGTAAACTACTAGTTTAGTGGTTTTATACTGCAAGTATACTCGTAAGTTCTTTAAGTGAACTTTACATCATACTATAAGTATACTATTATGTCCCTATTTAGGTATTAATGTGTATATATTTTGTTATGAATATCTGAACATACAAACATCAAAAGAAAGAACAGCGTATCTGCTTGTAAACAAAAACATTTTATTCTAGCTTCATGCATTCTTTTTTTATAAACATTTGAATGTGGGTAAGTTTCATAAATTAAAAAAATAAATAAATAAACAACATTTTGAACACAAAGCTGAAAAAGGCTATGAATTGGATTCAGAATGATAATCAAAACGTAGACGAGTTGATCAACACCCCAAAGCTTGACAGTCATTATTACCTCTTCATTGGTCGACATTACATCGACGTTGCACAGTTTTGATGCTGTTTTATGTGTGTATATATTTTGTTATGAATATCTGAACATACAAACATCAAAAGAAAGAACAGCGTATCTGCTTGTAAACAAAAACATTTTATTCTAGCTTCATGCATTCTTTTTTTATAAACATTTGAATGTGGATAAGTTTTATAAATTAAAAAAATAAATAAATAAACAACATTTTGAACACAACGCTGAAAAAGGCTATGAATTGGATTCAGAATGATAATCAAAACGTAGATGGAGTTGATCAACACCCCAAAGCTTGACAGTCATTATTACCTCTTCATTGGTCGACATTACATCGACGTTGCACAGTTTTGATGCTGTTTTATGTCTGATGATCGTGTTAGATTACATGTGGAAGCATCTGTTGTTTCGGTTTCTTCTTCGCTTGTGTTTTGGAAATTCTGTACAGAAGATGTGTACTAGCGCCCCCTACAGTATCACAATGAAAACACGGATTCTAGGAGCACAAGTATAGCTCAAATATATAAAGTATAAGTTTATAAGTATATTTAAATGTCATTTTAAGTATATTTTTGAGAAGTACATACAAAGTAGACTGAAAGTATACTTTCCTATTTTAGTTTAAAAGAAGTATACTAATAGCACACTTGAATAAACTTCTTTTTCGTAAGGGTATCCCTTTAATTCAAGTACTTTGAAGTCAGACTTGACCACCACTGGACGCAGTGTAAATCACTTTGGATAAGTGAATGTAAATGTGACAGATTTGAATATAGTAATTATTCAGTAGTGTGATACTGTACCGTGTGTTCACTCTCACTCACCCTGCATCTTGACTAGTTTGGCCATGTATGTGCTGTAGAGCGAGTAGATCCGCTCCGTCTCTCGGTCTCCGTCTACATCCAGCTGGATGTTGGCTGGAAGTCCCCTGAAGCACAGAAACACAGACGCAAACGTTTCTGTATTACACGCTTTCTAAAACAAGGCATTATCTACAGTAATTAAATGTGCACTTATTTGCATCCATAAATCTGCAGCACATAAATCTGAAGATTGGATGAATCCAGGTTCACAATTCTTGTTTGATTTTGTTGACAGACAGAAAACAAACTCATTTTCACCATGTTTATAGGAGTAAAATGTTGTATAAATCAGTTTGAATGAAATACGAACAAACCTTCAGAACACAGACAGGAAAAAAACAGTAAAGTTTGCTGTTTATAAAAGACAAATCTCTTTAAAGATTGAAATCTACAGACGCAAATAGAGAAAGTGCAATAAAATAAATGTGTATTTTGCACGGTTTCCTTCCTCTAGAATGAAAGAAGAGACATGAAATGGAGCAAAATAAACCAAAATCACAAAACTGCGAGTAGATAAAACACGAATAGATAAAGCGTAATAAAATTATATTAAATAAAAACAATTAAACATATAAAATATGAAATAAATAGATCAAATCCAAATGGATAAAGTGTCAAAAATTAGATTATTATATTAAAAAAATTTTTTTTTCACTTGTGTGGAAGACAAATGGAAGCAAAATAGACTAAAATGTAAAAAAAACAATGGTTTTGTCTGTAGTGTCTTGACTTAAAAACGCAAGCAATTAAATGAAATGAAGAAAAAAAAACAAGGTTTTTGTTTGTAAACTACTTTTAACTTTTTTTAGAAAACAGCATCATGTGCAAAACGCTGCAAAAGATGTGAGGCATCAATAGTTTTGATGATCACAACAAACAAAAAATATCATAACAGTGTAATTCCTAGTAATGCCAGTAATTCAAAATTGCAATTTCCTGTGTTTCTCTATTAAAACAACAGCGGTTGAGTAAGTGCATTTATTCAGAAACCACAATCGCAAACAATAGTCGAGATCTCATGACAGAACACAGACGCTTTCATTTAGATCGCTAAACTCCAGCGTGTTTGTCGCTGTTTTCAGATCAAGGTTGCCAGATTGCAGAAAATAAACAAAGCGCCGAGCAGAAAATGTATCAATGTAACAGCGAAGCTCTGATTCTGGGATTAGAACTCTTGATATCTGGCAACCGCACTCATGAGGCGTGTAGAGCAGTCCGCAATAACATTGTCTTTTTTTGACGAAAATAAAAATAGTTTTTTTGTAAAGTTTGAATTTTTTTTAATACATTTTAGTCTCGTCTTTTTTTGTCAACGAAATTGCATGTTGATATAGTCACAGTTATCGTTTGTTGACCTTACTGTCGTCTCGTCTTAGTCATGGGAAAAAAACTGTCACCGAACATTTTTCATCATAGTTTTCATTAACGAAATGAACACTAGATGCGACAGAATCAATCAAATATCACAGCCAATCAGAAGCGTGCGTGGGCGGAGCCTCTCTGGAAGCACACTGCACTCACAACAAAATAGATAAGTTTATAATCTAATTCATAAATATCAAACCTTTTTAACATCATTAAATGTACATACCGAGTGACTGATTGTTATGGAATACACTCGTTGGTTCGCAGTGAGTTTAACGTACATGTTGGCTCTGATTTATTTTCAAGATCTGAGGTAAACTTGCTTTTAGTTTGGTTTAAGGTCACGCAAAATGATATTTAAACTCATATTAGACACGCTTAATTTTGAATAAAGCACATAATCACCTGAGATTATCTACTGTCATATAGTTTTAATGTTTCTGTTACAGCTGCGACGTCACGGAAATAGAAATTCATCCCGTATTTAAGGCATCAAAGAAGCATCCCGTACGAAAGCTATAGCCTATCACTGCAAAAAATATTTTCTTTCTTAGTATTTAAGTCTTGTTTTCTAGTATACATATCTAAAAATTCTGGAATTAAGGTGAATTTACTTGACAAGTAAAATTACTTAATATATTATGTCTTGTTTTCTGGAAAAAATTATCCAAATTTTGTTAGTTTTTGCTTAAAACAAGTAAAAATATCCACTAGTGGGGTAAAAAAATACTCTTAATTCAAAGGCTAAACAAGATTATTTTTCTTACCCCACTGGAAGATATTTTTAATTTGTAATTAGTTACTTTTTTAGGGAGTAAGGCAATATTGTAATGATGGTCTGAAGTCTTTTCTCAGCTGTGTTTAGCCTCAGAAACAGGAGCGTTGTGTTCCTGATGTGCGCAGACTCACCCTGTGCATGGCGTGCAGCCGGGAGCCGAGTCCGCAGACAGCTTGCAGCAAAGCCAGTGTCCGTTGAGGAACGCCGACGGGTGGTAAGTGCTCAGACGCTTGCGGTTACACTGACTGACTTTGGTCAGGATGTCGATCCAGTCACGCGCCTCCACACAGTTATTGGCCTGGATGTAGAGCGCCCTCTCCGGCTGGATGACCTGGAACATCTGCAGGAAAACCACAGCACTGCTGCAGGTGATGTCTATGAAACAATCAAATCTGACCCTGGAGCACAAAACCTGTCATAAGGGTCAATTTTGTGAAATTGAGATGTATGCATCATCTGAAAGCTGAATAAATAAGCTTTCCATTGATGTATGGTTTGTTAGGATAGAACAATATTTGAAAATCTGGAATCTGAGGGTGCAAAAAAATCTACATATTGAGAAAATCATCTTTAAAGTTGTTCAAATGAAGTTCTTAGCAATGCATATTACTAATCAAACATTAAGTTTTGATATATTGACAATAGGAGATTTACAAAATATCTTCATGGAACATGATCTTTACTTAATATCCTAATGATTTTTGGCATAAAAGAGAAATGTATAATTGTGACCCATCCATTGTATTGTTGGCTATTGCTACAAATATCCCCCAGCGACTTAACACTGCTTTTGTGCTGCAGGGACACATATGTGAATCTGAAGATGTTGATTTTTTTGTTTGTTTTAAGTGTAAATAATTAGTTTGTTTAATTGATCACAACATTAGAATGATTTACACTTGTACATCAAAGTAGTTTCTTTTAGCATAATGTGACAATATTAAACAGATCAAGCCTTTTCTGTGCTGAGCACTGCTGTGTGTGTGATGCTCCTCTGCAGCAGCAGGTGTCAGTGTGAGACCCACACAACACACAACACACAACACACA